TCCCAGCTCCCCGCGATCTCCCGCTTTGCCCCTGTCCAGGCCTAAGGCGTCCGGCCCGGGCAGCGAAGACCCGCAGCTGCAGCGGCCCTGCAATCGTGGGCTCCGCTTTAGGCCCAGGCAAGGGACCCCTAGCTCCCGGGACTGCCAGCTTCGACAGTGCCCAGCTCCCATCGCTGGCTCCACCCCTACTTCCTGCTATCATTGGCCAGGGCGGCAAAGGCGCCCGATTCTCCGATCATGGCTGGGGGGCAGGGCAAAGGCGGCCCCAGGGCCAATCTTAGTTGGCAGTTAATTTGCATATAGCCATAATTAGCCAATGAAAAGGGTAGCATCGTACGCCAATTACCATTTTTCTCTTTTATTAGTGTAGATTATAATATTATAAAAAGATTGGCTAAATTTGATTTCAAAACTACAAGTTACATTAGCTGAGTTTAACTAATTGTCCTGTCTATAATATTGAAGTGGTTTAATTTTCCAGAAATTTTGACATTGGATAGATGACACTGTAACATTGTCTCATATGAGAATTCTGGCTTACACCTTTTCCACTGACTGTGTCAATATGCACTCATAATTTTCTAACTTGCCTAATGGGAGCCTATTTATTTTTTAAAATAAGACTTATTTTGGAAATGTCAAAATCAAAATCATGTCTTATAATAAATGCAGCTCCAAAGTACATGAATTTAAAGTTATAATCTATTTTACTTATGGTTATGGAGGTAAGTTTCTGAGGCTTTATATTAATTTGAAGGTAGGATTGATAAGTTTAAAATGGATACTATCACTAAAACAAAAAAAAGTTATAGAAAATAAGTCAACAAAGAAAACATTAAACATTCGATTAATCCAAAGAAGGTAGGAAAATAGAACAAAATGAAGAAAACATGTGACAAGTAGAAAATAAATAGTAAGATGACGGATGTGAACCCAATTACATCAATACTCATTTCAAATATAAATACCCCAGTAAAAAGCAGAGATAGTTGGATTTAAAAACGAGATCCAGGTATATGCTGCACAGTAGAAATGCATTTCCAATACAATGTACAATTAGGCTGAAAGTAAAGGATGGGAAAAACATATATCAACATATTACTTATCAAAAGAAAGCTGAAGTACCTCTATCAATACCCATAAAGTAGATTTCAGAGTAAAACATATTATCCAGATAAAGAAGGCCATTTTCTAATGATAAAGGAGTTATTTGAGCAAGAGAACATTACAATTCTAACTACTCATGCATCTTTTAACAGAGCTTCAAAATACATCAAGCAAACACTGCTACAACTGCAAGGAGACATTCTTAATTATAGTTGGAGATTTTCATATTGTTCTCTCTGTAATTGAGAGCATAAGTAGATAAAAAATCAGTAAAGATCTGGAACACCTGAACAACACTATCAAGTAATTTGGCCAACATAGCACAAAAGTTTTATATATATTTCAGACTAAGATAATGAAGTAAAATGTGTTAATATGAAATTTTCTAGTCTATTAAGGAAAAAATTTTAAATTACTCACATATAATCATTAAATCACATGCTTAATGTAAATGCAGACAAGGAAGTATTTCACACCACAGTGGTTTCACCATATTTTTCTTTATACCTCTTCTCAAATCATCCTATATAATGATTTCACTATTATAAATGTGCTTTCTACTTATTATAAATGTACTTTTTAGACATGGGTTATGGATGAAAATACTTATCTACTTTAAAATTAATTTCAAGAGTTGTATAATTTATGAAGTTTATAAATCTTCACCTTATGGAACATAAATATTTTCTATGCATCAGACTGCCTACTGAAAAATGTGAAAGACAGGAAATGAAATCATTACTTGCAATAAATGGTGGCAGATATTTGTCTACAGCTCAAAAATAAATTTGAACAGAGTTTTACAAAATACCCAATATTAATTCAATCTAAGGTACCACTAATTATAAAACATGGCATTATTTTATAATCTAGAAAATAATAAGTGCTGCCAATTAAATTGTGACATTGCAAGGTACAACAGTTTCTTAGATGGCAAAATGTGTGTGTTCTGAGATAGTCAATGAATGTATCAAGAAGCTAAGTTTGCTCTAAGATGTTAAAAGGTAAATAGATGTGGCTTTCCTACCTAACCTAAAACATGGTCCTCTAAAACAGTTTGTGTGAACTGAATTCAGACTCTGTTGACTCGCTTAAATAGCCATTGCAGGATTAGAATTTCTAGAAAAATTTATAAATGTTCTGCCAGAATACTTGAAGAAAAAGGATATTCTCAACTCTCTATTGGCTAATAACACACTAGCAGGAAGAGCTATTATATAAAATGAAAAAAAATTATTATTAACTCAGAAATACTTAATGTGTATAAAATTGTTTTATATGTTCACCCAGATCCTTAAACAAAGATATTTTGTTTCTGTTGATGTTCTCAGAAAGCTAGAGTTATTTGCAAAAAGACTCCAAGCAATGAATTAATTTCAATTTCATTAGTCCAGCTGAGGCCATATTTTAATATTTGACTCAACTAATTATTGCTATTACCCCAGAGCATGTCCATTCTCCAGGGTCCATAAAAATCCAGACCAGTAGATACTTGAAAAAGTTGTTCAAAATGGTAACAACTTTTAGAAAAACAATTAGAAATTATATGGGATAGAATTGTATGGTGCATTAATATGTATCTGTTATTGTAATATTAAAATAAATTATACAGGTCAAAAATTAAACAAATATTTGAATCAAAACTCAATTTAGGAAGTTGAGAAGAGGAATGTCCAATATTTTAATTTTGATGAACTAGTACAAAAGTTGAAATTTGTGTATTTCTAAAATTCCTAATTGTCAAGATAATCAATAAAACACATTTAAAAATATTTTAGTTAATGTTTGAAATATTTTTCTTCAAAGAACATTTTTCTAATACCAGTAATGTAGTTTAATAATGAAAATAATAGCATCATGTGTTGGAACAATATTTACATGTGGTTTACAATAAATTAGTTAAGTTTCTATTATGCTTATAAAATATAAGCTGAATCTTACTTAGTTGGATATTAGGTAACTGATAATATAGAAATTGTTATTAGTAAAGTAATTTGTTTTTCTACAGGTTGCACCATTACCATATTTGACTATAAACTCCTTTACAGTGCTACTCTTTAAAGCTTTTTATCTAACATACATTTTTCAATGCACGTGGCCTTTATTTTCATTGCATATACATAAGCAGTTCATTCAATCAAACTTGGATACAATTTGATCCTCCACCTCAGCATATTATAAACCACATGGATGACTTACCTTATCTTTTCTTTGTTTTTCATCCTGGTATACAGTCCAGTGCTCTCCATCATTGCTGTAAGCTAGTTTGTAGGAGCCTACGAACTGTACATGACCAAAATCTTTAGCTCCTTGTGTAATGATGCCAGTCACTTTGGTAGGGACAAGAAGATCTACCTAAAAAAAGGAAAAGACATAACTTAAATGCCACAATAGAGTCCATTTTACATTTGCAAGTCTCTTGAACTCGGGAGATTAAGAAACATATATGCTAAAGGCAAAATTCCATTGATTATATGTAATTTGAAACTAATGACTACGTTTATTAATGGCTTATAATTTGGATTTTGCCACTGGGGTAAATAGTTTAAAACCTGAACAACCACTTTGACCATTTTAAAATAAAAAGATGGTCATTTCAGTATAACAATCAATTTTATATTAAACTGATTCATCCAGCTGTGCAGTTTTGTGTAACTCAGACAGTTCCGAACTGGCAAGCTTGACCTTCTTGAGAGTGGTCATTATCTCCCAGAAATTGTATTATAATTCAATTTCCTGACTTTACTAGTAAATTCATAATAATAAAGTTGTTATGTATATATCAGAAACAAAAATTGTCTTAGATGTTTCAAAATTAAACATTAAATAAAAAGTCAATCCTGTTTCCATGAATTTTAATCAGCTCATCAGTTCATTAATATATAACAAATTAATATGTAACAAATTAATAGTAATCATTGTCTAATGAAAATCCTCTTTCAGAAAACTACAATCCTGAAAATATTGAGGAGAAAGTCAAGTATTGTTCAAAGATGAAAGGTGATTAAAATATACATCCATGACTTTTGGAATCTGTGTTTATGATGTGTTTGTTCCTGTAAAATATATACTTAAAGGACAAATACATATAATTAAATACCTATGGTGGTTCAGTAAGCATTAAATTCATCAAACTGAAATACAAAAAATAGGGATGATTTTTATCAAAGGATACATAACATTGAATAATTTAGCATTCTCCCTCTTCATTTCCTAATTCATGCATCTTTTCTTACATCATGTGATGCTCATTAAATAAAAAAGGAACAATTTGTTTCCATGTGGACAATTCTTATAAGACCTTTACTGTTTGTTCCTTAATATTTCTTGATCTATGACTTCCTTTCTCCTCTTACAATAGCCACCTACTTCCTCCTACATCCTATGACGAAGTGCCCTGTTACATCCTTGATCTTATCATCTTTAACTGTCATAATCCCGTGTGTGACCTCGGTTGCTTTCAACCACTATGTCCTTTTGTTTCTATTTCAGATTCTCCATCCTGATGTTCATAGCCACAAATAGACAGTCATGGGTCAGATACAGGTCATGAATGAGAAGAGAGGGCTAGGAGAATGCATTGAATAGAGCATATTTAATGACATAGATGCTTATCAAATAAAAATATGGACAAAGTTCCCAATGTTTCACAGCCTAGAAACATTTTCCTAAAAATTCATATAAACTTTTATTTGCTTTTTAAAACATTCTTTAGTTTAAAACACAAGGCTCACATTGAGCTTTAATGATTTATTAAAATACGTTAGAAAGTTTAACAAAAACTACAAAATACTGTGCTTCTGTTTTTGCTATTTTCCAAGCATGTATTAAAAACCTTGTGCATCCGATAGCAATGCAGGGTGGCAAAACTGTGGTAAACTGGGGAGGAAACTGCTTTGTCTCACACTATACTACGTGCTTTCTTGTATGTGTTCATTGAGCTCCCGCAGCAACCCTGTACGATGGGGTATTCTCTTCACTTTAGGGATGAGGGAAGAGATGTCTAACATAACTTGAGTCAAAGATAAACAGTGAGTAAATGAAGGATCCCAGAGTCAAATCCATGTCTTTCTCATTCAAAGTCCCGCCATACATAGAGATTCTCTGTCCATGATCTTTTCCCATTCTCTGTGACTATTTCAGGAATTTCTGAGGCATCTCAAAGCTTTCTCATCACACTCATCAAATTTACAGCAACTCTAAGCCCTAGAAAAAAACAATCCTGGCTTTACAATACTGGGATAGCAGCCCTGTTTTCTAACACGAATTTCCACTCTGTTCTTCAGCTGTTGGAGCTTAAAAATATGGATTGCTTTTGTCCTAATTTCCAAATCTAATTGTGCTGAGACATGTAGACATAGCTGCTGGTCTTCAAAGTGTACTTGATGCTGCTAACACTCAATAAATGGAAACACGCATACACTCATACACACTCTCTCTGTCTCTCTCTCTCTGTCTCCCTTACAGCGCTCTGAGTCAATGTTTGCCATCAAGGCTATAAACACACAGGAACTCAAACTGCCTCCAAGAATATGAACACCTCCAGGGTGAGATTCCTCACTCCCTAAACTTCCTATATAGTCGTTAGCTGACATGACGCAATGAGGAGACTTATAGCATCTCTTTTTCTGTAGCGTTTCTTAGAGTCAGCGGGGCTTCCTGCTGGGAGGAGATGTTTTCTCTTTCAGTTGTATGTCTTGGCTCTTTCTAACAGATAGGGTTTTCTCCTGCTGTAACTGCTCCCCTTCTCCAGTTTTATTTTTTAATTTAGAAATGTTTTTCTTTTTCTTTTTTCTTTTGCAGTTAAGTCAACTTCTTGACTTAAATAGTCACCAATCTGTTCCAAGCTGGATCTTGTCCTAAAATTTGTTACATTTAACTTAGAGTATCAGGCTTAAGCAAACCCCTTTTCACTATAAAAATAATCAGCACCCCACACATGTCATGAGGTTGCTACAACAGGGCATATTCAAATCTCACTCTGAGACAGGCTCATGCACATATCACCCTCATGCTCAGCATGCAGGAGGATCCCAGAAAAGCCCGTTCCTCTGGACCGATGCTTACCCCGAGCCCAGGACCACTCTGCGCTCTTGCAGATCTGAGTTAAAGTTGTACTGCAAACGTGTTGGACAAAGTGCCTTCTGCTGTTTCAAACCCTCACCTCTCAAGGTTTGGCTCAAGTAGAGCAGGTTATTTAGGGCTCTGAGCTGGCACATGGGTAGACTTGTGGCTTTGGTGCACTGCACTTCCTATCCGGATCTGTATTAAATATGCCTTGTAAGTAATGGTTCCTCAATGAAGGTTTTGCTGGACTGAGAGAGAACTACTTCCTAAGCATGTTCCATGGACAAGAATCAACCTATGGCTAAAGGTGCCACAATGTCGCATAGCAGACAATGCTAATGGCTTTTTTCTCGTTTCTCCACCCAGGATTATATTACTGGTCAAGGAAACACAATGTCATGGTGGTAACAACCAATTTTTAGTGGGAAGGCAACTGGTTGAAACTGTCTCTGTTCTTTAGGAAAGTGATTGTGAGAGGCAGCACATAATAGTGGAGCGGTGGTCTGCTTCCTAAGCTGCTCTGCCCTTACTAGCTACCTGCCCCTGGGCAGGCTGCCTTACCTCTCTGCATCTCAATTTCTTCATCTGAAAAATGAAGATAATGGTCCACAGGATTTATGTGGATTTGAGGAGTTAATATGTATTAAGTGTGTAAAATAATATATAGAATATAGTCAGAGCAATATAAGGCTTTGATAACAAACAGCAAATAAATCTGAGGAAAGAATCTAGTATGAGTTTTTGAACAACTTATTAGAAGCATAAATATAGAAGTAGAAAAACTGGTGGCCAGATGTCCTAAGAGCAACTTCTGGATTGTAGTATATTTTGGTCACCTTCTCAGGATATATACAAAGACAGTTGTTTTATTTTTACTTAAAGTAGAGAAAATTTGAATCAACTGAAATTCCCATTCATGTATAAAATGCTTAGCTAAACATAATATAATTAATTGTATGAAATGTTGTGCACCCCCACTTGAATATTGATTATATTACAATAGGGAATGGCTCCAAAGTAATATTAGAAGAGAAAATTATATTATACATTATAGCGATTTTTTTCTTTTAATTGTAAGTGTGGAAAATGAGAGAATAGATATATAGAGAAGCTCAGATGATATATGAGTATTGCAAGAGGATTATGTAGGAATATAACATTTTTTATTGTAAAACGTCCTGTAATTTCCTAGCAAAGCATATTTGGAGAGTCTAACTTAGCAAAACAGTGTAGAATAACTAAGAGCATTTGTTTGAAAAAGGTCAAGATAAGCTACATTTCAAATATCTGCATAACACCCTGACAGATGGCTCCCTGGAAGAAGATAGGGAAGACTAGGAAAGTCATGATTTTCATGGAGCTGTTTCTAAAGGGTGATGAAAATGAAAAGTGCTACAGATCAGTAAGTGTGCAGAGAGTGAACAAAAAGGCCAAAGAGATTTATCACAGAAATATGCCAGCCAGCTGCATCTAAAATGCTCTAGTTTTTGCTTTTCTGTTGCATCAATTATTTTGGATTATATATTTTAGAACTTCATGGAGATTTGAAAAATTAACTCATTAAATAGAAATAACTTTGAATCTAATAGGATAATGTAGTATTTAAAATAAAGTTATGGGTAAAATATTTAGGTAACATTTTAGTTTAAACAAGGGATTTTCACCTCAACATTACATGAAACAATTGTATATAATCCTAGCTATGTTAAGGCACATAATTAATTGTGTTTGGCATTTGAACAATATTGTTAGTTATCAGGTGTTGGTTATGCTTTCAGTCCATATTTTCAGGCCTACCAGTTAATGTCATCAACTTATTATGAACTATTTTCAAACCCCTTATCCGATATGCTTTAGTAACTCTAAGGTTATGGGTTCAGAACCTTAAAATATTATATGAAACCGGATAAATCCACTCATTCTAACACTCATCATTTGCATTCCTCCCTTTCTAAAAAAGTTTTAAATTCCAGTAATATTTTAAAACTTTTACTATAGTAATTGCTTTTTCCCTATGGAATTTTAAAACTATGACCACTTTTACAAAAGAAAAAAGATACCATAAAATAACCTTTCAAAGGACAGAGGGAATTTACAGTTTGACTGATGTTTTGCAATGTGGCTTTTACATGTGAAACTATTATAACATGTGTATAGTGCCATAAACAAGCTTTCCAAGCCCAGGTGATCACCCAGGAGTGTGTTTTGTAGGACACCTGCCATATTGTAGACATTCCAAATATCCAGGCATCATCTGCCCTCAATTCAAAATTGAGATTATTCTTTAC